CCAAGGGCGCGCCGGCTGGCGCTACTGTAGTGCACTCGCGTGCTTCCTCCAAGCACTTTCGTCTGGCACAAAGTCTTCCCATCGCAGACGTTCTTCAGCTAGCCGCCGTACATGCGGCAATATGTACTTAGCCCATTCCAGTATGGGTCGCCCAGTCTTCCTGACGTAGTGGTCGGTGATGAATTTCAGAATGCCCGGCACGAAAACGGATTCTCGCAATGGATCTCCAGGCTCTGCTCTCGCTGCTTTTCCAAACAGGAGAGTCGTGTTCGTATTGCTTAACCGTACAGTCATCGTGCTACCAGAAGGAACGCATGATAAGAACTAAGGGAGTTTTCTGCCCACGGCGGGCCTGGGCCACAAACAGGATCCACGACATAAGAACAGGGAACGGCCCGAAAACCCGAGCCCCTCCCGAGCCCAAAACGGTCGCCGCTCGACTGCTGCCTTGAGCCCGTGGAGGGGCCAGGGAGACCGAGGTGCGGGCAGTACTTATACCCATATCCAGAGCGTCGTGGACTTTTTGGGAAGAGGTGCCGCAACGCCGAGGCGCACTGGATATGGATAAAATCAAGCCTCTTGGGGCCAGATTTTTATCCATATCCAGTGCGTCTACGGTTTCTGGGGAAGAGAGCCCAAGAATCCAAGACGCACTGGATGTGGATATAACTATTGCCCGCACGAGGGCGCATAGCGCCCCGAGAACCCGTCTTCGCGCACATTCTAGCTTGCCATGGGCCCGAGCTCACCCCAGACATCTGGTTCTCATATTTTTGTTCAGCGCATGGGCCCCATAGCCATAGGTCCGCACCACTTCCCCAGGGCTGGCTTTTCGTCCTGAGTCGCTTTCTCACGCTCCCGAGGCCCAGCGAGGGCCCCTGGAGGCCGAAAACGGCCCAAACCCCGCCGCTCCAATCTTTTTGGAGCCTCGGACCTCTGGGACGGCCAACACTGCCGCTGCTCGAGCTCCTCGCCCTGTGCCGCGGGGGCCGGCAGGACAACGCGGGGCTTTCGGAGATCTACTGACCCGTGTCAATCCAAGCCCGGGTCAATCCAGCTTTGCAGGACCCTGCCAAATCCTGCAAGACCCTGCACCCAAACCCGGGTCAATGCACCCCTGGCCCTGCAGGATCCTGCACGACCCGGCGCTCTGACTCTCACTCCCGTTTGCATCGACTCCCGCCTCTCAAGCCCCGAGGCTGCCCCGTGGTCTGCCTCCCGGCCTCGGGCCGCTCGCTTTCTTCGTGGCCCAGGCCCCCCGCCTTCGCGCGCGCCCCCGCGCGGCGCGGGGCTGTCTTCGCGCCCCCTCGCGCTGCCCCCCGCCCCCCAGCCCAGGCCACGGCGCGCGAAGCTCTGGAGGCTGCCTCCGCGCCCCTCGTGGCCCGGGTGGCGGCTCCTGCGCCCCCTCATTCTCCTGACGGTGTGGCCAGTCCTGCTCCCTCGTCTCCTCCCGCCTCCTCCGCAGCCGCCTGCGCATCGCCACCGTCCGCCCCCCCCCCGTTCCATCTCATCCCTCCCTCCCTCCCTCCCTCGACTCCACAGCTCCTCATCCCCCTCCTCTTCTTCTTCTTCTTCTTCCTATTAGTGTTATTAGTATTACTACTATTATTTTTTATTATTAATAATAATATTACTATTATTATTGTGAACAGTCTTATTGTTGCTATGACTCATAATGAATGAATGTTGTTCTTAGTATTAATAGTATTTTTAGTATGTGTTAGTCGTCGTTTTCTTCTAATGAGTTGCATTTATAGTATTAGCATGATCAGTCTCATGAGTAGTATGAAGACTATGAAGGTTATCATGATTGCTAGATTTACAATAATTATTGCGATCAGTAGTAATGCTGCTATTGTGATTCGACCTAGTAATACAACTACTAGTATTAAGAATGCTTTTCTTCTCAGTACTATAAATTCTTAAAACCATTAATATTACTGTTGTGCTCACGCTTAATCGTATTGTTAGTCGTGCTCATCGAATCATCATTTCATATGTTGTTCATTCGCTGTCGCATGGTTAGAACATTTCGTATGATTCGTCCAAAACAAAAACCAAACACTAATACAACTAGCAATAATACTACTGCTAAGAATAAAGATACCCATACGGATACACAAAGTAGCAATACGTATGATTAACAATGATGGTATTACGACTGGACTTCGCATTCTAATATCAACATGTTATCATGTGTCCTGGTGTTGTTGTTGCTGTTGTTGCTCTCATTATACGTATTCGTATGTATTACGGTATCGTGAATATTATTCTTGTTATCAGTATTCTACCGCCTCTTCTTCATCCTCCTCCTGCTCCTGCTCCTGCTCCTCCTCTCACTTCCCATTCCTTCTCCCCCCAGCTATCCCCGTCATGGCCCAATCCCTCCACGTCCCCCCCCTCCCCCGCTTCCATCCTCTCCTGCCGCTCTCGGGTGCTCCCTGCACCTCGATGTAAGCTTCGGTGAGTGTGGGTGGTGCTTCTCGGGCGTCAGGGAGGAAGACGCCCACTGGAACTTCTGGTCCGCAACAAGGCTCGAGCTCAGCAATGTTTCCCGTGTTCGCGTTGTATTCGTTTTCCCTCGTTCTGTTTTCGTTCCGCCTTTGGTGCAAAACGAAAGCAAATCGAACACGGTCAACGAAATCACCAAAACACGGTTTAGCTCGAGCCCTGGTCCTCAACGCGGTCGCAGTTCACCGGCTGCTCAGCTGACAAACAACATCCCTCGACTGTTCGCAAACCAAGGCATAGTTACAGCTTTGCACGGGAGCAGGAGCGCCATCAAAGGAGAAACCGTAGCACTGATTTTGACAGCACAGTAAAGTGTGCGGGCGTGTCTCTCGATATTGAAGCAGTTGGACAGCAAATGTTCAAGATGCAATGTCCACAAAAAACGTGTGCGGCCTCGGTCTCCTCCTCGGCGTCGTTTTCGTTACAATCAATCATCACTCGCGTCTTCGGCGCGAGGGATACTGCATGACATTGCACATCTCAGCTCTGATTGTGAGTACTGCATGATGACAGGCCGTACCTAACACCTTGAGGGTGATGACGAGGAAGATGACGAGGACGAGGGTGCGGATCGGAACTGCAGAGCCATTGCGACAGGATGGCGATGAGGATGAGGAACAGAAAAGCAGCTGCAGCAGCAGAAGCAGGATGGGGGCACTGCGAGGAAGGAGGATGAAGAGATATATGGGGATCACGGGGATGGGGATGTGGGTGGTGGTCACTGCATAAGGGAAACATAATCCCGAGCAGAGCAACACGCACCACGACCACGACCACGCCGACGACGACGACGACGACGGAGACGAGACGATGGGGATGTGGCATTGAGGATGCTGCCGCAGACGAGCGACAGCAGGAGGCGCAGGAGCAGGAGCGGCAGAGGCAGGAAGGGGGCAGCAGGAACAGCAGGAGCAGGAACAGCAGGAGCAGCAGGAGCAGCAGCAGTACACCCTGCGAAATGCTTAAGAAATCATTGGTTAAGAAATTCATAGTCTCAGAACTTCAATAAAAACAACCCAACATTTCTATTAAAATCTTAGGACTTACATTGAAACATTAAGAATAATCGAGACTCTGGCCGAAAACTTGGGTTTTCTTAAGCATCGCCTAAGGTGTAGGAGCAGACCTCGTCCACGATACCCTGCACGATCTCGGCCTGGGTGGACGGCATGGACTTTCGCTTCTCCTCGCTGCCCCAACGGGAAGGGGTCTGTCAGTCGAGACGAGCGCGGGAGGAGGAGGAGGACGAGGACGAGGACGCGGAGGAGGAGGAGGAATGGCAGCAAAAGGCGGAAGAGCAGAAGGAGGGAGAGCAAGAGGTCAGAGTATGGGGGAGGGGGAAACACGAAAGGGAGGAAGAGGGTGAGGATGCTGAGGAGACGAGGGAGGAGCAACAGCAGCAGGGACGAGCAGGAAGCAGCAGACGCAGGAGGGGCAAGAGGTGCTGGACGCCGATGGAGTTCTGTGGAGACCAAAAGAGTCTTAATCAAGGATAGTCGAAGTGAGTTCAGCGGAGTCCTATGGATCCCAATGGGGTCCAGTGGATTAGTAAAGGGGTCCTACGGAGAGTTCGGTGGACTCGCATGGAGTTGTATGGAGCCCAATGTATTCCATGGAGTCCAATGGAGTCCTGTGGCGATCAATGAACCAATGGAGTCCAATGGAGTCCTATGGAGTCCAAAGAAGCCCAGGGGAGGCCAGTGGGGTCTGACGGAGTCCATGAGGTTCAATGGAGGCCATGGGGTATTCCTCGAGAGTCGTATGTGCGTTCCAATAGGGTCGTATGCGTATTGCAGCGGATACCACTGAAATCGTATGGGTGTTCCACTGGAATCATCAATGGCGCCTAACTTTGCGCTTCGCGCTGCGCGAATAACTTCGCGCCCTCGCGCCGCCCACCCCCACGGGAGATGAAGAGGCTGAGGAGGAATCGGAGCCCAGCCGCGAAGCGCGAATAACTTCGCGCCCTCAAGGGCACCCTTGTGTCACGCAGTAGGAACGTACGGCAAGACTTGCCATGAGAACTCCTGGAGCACGTTCTTCGTGAATCCTTCTCCCTGGAGATATCTTTTGGGCCTCTGGGGGCCATCGTGGGACCATCAACTTCTGCGGGGGGCAATTGGCCACGAGGGCGCCACACGAGGCCCGAAAGCCGCAGGACGGCTCAAAACCTCGATCCTCGACGAAGCGACCTGCGACGGGGGCCTCCTGGACCGGGGCTTCGCCGCGGCACCGCAGCTCCGTCACGGGCCCCCCTCGAGGGCTCCCCGGGGCTCGAAACGGGCCTGTGGGGGCGCCCGAGAGCTTCGCACGGGCAGCGAGGAGCACGCCCGACGAAGCTGCTGTCCACGACGCTCGGAGGTCTGGGGAGGAGGAGGAGGAGGAGGAGGAGGAGGAGGACCAGTGCAAACACAAAATTCATCGACGATGCTGGAGTACACCCTCCCTCCACGCTCCCTCCTCACTGGCCCCTACGAGGGTTCATTGCCACTGAGGGAACTGCCTCGTTGGTAGACAACCGTTTGAAGACCCTGAAGCATGCCAAAACACGATTCTCGGAATTCTAACGCCACGGATCAACCTGACTGTCGCGTCTTGACGAGCCAGAACCGTGGAAGAGCACCATTCCTGGGACCTCAACACCGCGGACCAACGCAACTATTGCACCCTCATATACCTGAATCCTTCCAAAACACTATTTCTGGTACGTTGACCATGGGAATCCGTGAAACTCTTGCAAATGTGTAAAACGAATCTGCGCGGCGCTAAGGCGAGAGAAACGGCCCGTCCAACAATCCGTCAAACTCTTGCAAATGCTTAACACGAATACGCGCGGCGCTAAAGCGAAAACCACATTTTGAAAAAGGCCCGCCCTCAATCCGTCAAACTCTTACAAATGTTTAAAACGAATGCGCGCGGCGCTAAGGCGAGAACCACATTTTGAAAACGGCCCGCCCTCAAACCGTGAAACTCTTGCATTTGTGAAACGAAGATGCGCGGCGCAAAGGCGAGAGCCACATTTTGAAAACGATCCGCCCTCAATCTCAGAAACACTTACACTATTTGTAAAGCGAATGTGCGCGGCGCTAAGGCGGGAGCCATATTTTGAAAACCACCCACCCTCCATCTGTGAAACTGTTGCCAATATTTGTAAGCTTCAGGGTCAGAAATGGTGAGAAGAAACCTCAAGCGAAACGCCCGGCCCGCCCTTTCGACCGCCCTCGGGGTGCGACAGGGAGGAGTTACTCACGAGGAAAAGGGGTGAAGGAGGGGGAGAGGGGGGAGAATGACGCTACGAGCGTGTGCGCTCGGCGGCCTGGGCAAGAAGAAGGGGGGGAGGAGGCAGGGCGGCAGGAGGAGGACGAGGACGGGGACGCAGAGCGGGATGCACAGCAGGAAGAAGGCCCGACGCCCCTCCTCCAGGCAACCTGCATCGCCAATGCTGCTGGTGGGACCGCTGCACGCGCGCTTGTGGGGAGGGGCCGGGAGGAGGGGCGCGACGAGGGCTTCGACCATGACCATTCATGGTGGCACGGTCCGCAGCTTCGAGCTGCGGGGAGGGCCTGACGACGCGGCGCCTGCCGCCGCTCGCTGCCGCCTAGAATGTCTCAACTTCGCGGCATGTTGCGCAGGTCCCGCCAGCTTTGGACAGTCCTGGCGCCTGGGGAAGGCCTGGGAGACCGAAAACTGTGAAAAAAACTCCAGGGCCCCGTTGTACGTCACCAAACTTCGCGCATTCTCCACGATGCGCTTTCTAGAGGCCTCCCAGATGGGGTCCGAGTAGATGGGGTCGGAGGATCGCGCCGCATTCCCGATGCATCGGCGATGCGGCGCAACCCTCCGGCCCCATATATCTGACCCCATCTGGGAAGACTGGACGTCTGCGCTTCCAGGCTGAGCGCTCTTGCTCCTTCCTAGATGCTGCCCGAAGGATTCTTGCACTCTGTACTTCGGGAAACCAGGGAGGCATGGGACAGGGGGAAGGGGGATGCAGGGGTGGAAAAGAAGCGGGAGGGGGGAGGGGGGAGGGGGGAGGGGGGGAGGGGGCGGGAGGAGGAGGGTCGGGGCGGGGAGGGGGGCGCGGGGGGAGGGGGTCCCGATCCCCCCTGGAGAAGCACGCGCTCCGCGCCAACTACGGGCCGCGAGGCGCGAGGCGCCCCGCCTATCTTCGCGCCCCTGCGCGGGTGGCTTCGAGCCCCCCACCCCCCCCCGCGGCCGCCCCTGCCCCCCCTGCTCACCCCCTTTCAGCTCCCGCCCCTTGCCTCGCCATCGCTCGGGCGTCAGTTCCCCCCTCATCTTTCGGCTTCGCGCGTGCGTTCTTTGCTCGATGGTTCAGGAGGCTCCTGGATGGTCGGTCCTCGCTGAGAACAAATGCACACGTCCGAGCGATGCCAAGTTGCTGGCCTCCCGGCCCTTCTCCCAGGGGCCCGTGCCCCCCCGCTGGCCCCCTCCAGAGCTCCTGCCCCCCTGCTGGACCCCCTGCCGACCACCTCTCGTCTTTCTGGGCGCCCCCCATCCCCTCCGACGAAGCCAGGACGAGGATAAAATCAGGTGAGGGTAAATCGAAGATCCCTGAGATCCAGCGGCTCTGGAGGATGTCTCGGGCGCCGCGGATTTTTCTCAGTGCGTTCCGGAACTCTCTGAGAGCGTTCCGAGACGCTCTGGGACAAATTGATCCTCGTCCGAGCCCCGTCAGACACCCCCCCTCCCCGTGGGGGGGTCAAAAGGTGCCGGTGCAGCTGCTCCCCGGACCTCTCCAAGGCTGGGCCCTACAAAGTCGAGGCGACTCCAGCGGTGGCGACGAGGGCCTCCCAAAGGCCCAAGAGGGCGAAAACGAGGCAGGGGTGGCTGCATCGACCGGCACCGCCCTGCTCTTTCCCCCTGTAGAACAACAAGGCGTGCCCCGATAGAGCCCTACGCGCCGCCACGCTGATCCCGGGCAGGCTGTGCTGCCCGGCGGAGGGGACGAGGAGAGAAGCAGGCAGGTGAGGACGAACGCGCAGGCGGGAGGCCAGGGCCGGCTGGGCGGGCGGCCAGGCGGAAGGGGGGCTGCGCGGAGACAGCAGGGCGATCGGTACCTTTTTCCTCCTCGGAGCCCCGCCCAGCCTGGGCCCCCTCCGGCTCCTCCAAGCCGCCGTCCTCCAGGCCCTCCGCGCCGCCATCCTCCGCCTGGCCGCCACCAGGAGCCGAAGGGCCGACCGGTCAGAGGGGGCGCCCCGCCCTCCTCCCTCACACCGCCTTTCGAGGAGGAGGAGGAGGAGGAGGAATGGGAATAGCAACATGACGATATCAATGAACGTCAACTAACTACCCTTGGACTGGCTGACGTGCTGACCGTTCTGCAGCAAATAGAGCTTCAGGCGCAATCCCCCGATTAATCCGTCTAGGTCAAACCTCCTGGTGGCATCAAGGGACTGGGCACCCAAAGAAACATTCCTGAGCCCCGCCTGTCGGTTGGCCGTGAAAGAAAACCTGCAATTCCCACAGATCGAGACCCCGAGTGAGTGGCTGAAAACCATTGCGTGAGATTCGTGAGCCCACCCCCCCCAGCTAAGTGCAGCTTATGCCATTTAGGCCCCTGAGAGAGCCTAGTAGTCTCGATGTGCCCAAGCGGGCGACAGGGTGCCGCAAGCCATTCTTGCAAGGTGCGCTTAGTGTCACTCTACCATGACAAGTGGTGCATTTAAACCCACATTCGCTTAACTTGCGAGAAAACTAGACCTAGCTGCAGCCGAGGGTGGGGGAGGGGGAGGCGCGGGAATTACCGTGCGGGAGCCAAGAAGCAATGTCCCCACTCGAGATTTCCTGTGCAGAAAGATGAGACAACACTTTCAACACATCGATCTCACCAACATCTCGGCACTCAATGTGTTGGCCCATCTGGCAGAAATACCACCCATTGTGAGCTCTCGTTGTCGGTAATGAAAACCATGGGTCCGCTCGCCCCTCTGTGGCGACCTCCAGCGCACTGAGCCCTGCGCGTGGAATTCTCTGGATTCGCCCTGCCAACGGACCAGCCACCATGGGGCCGATTTGCATTGACTGAGGGTCGAGCATGACTCATGACACAGATCACCTACGCCAATTCTCCGCAATGCTGGAAATCGACTGCTAGGACCTCCAGGTGCGTCGCCGAAATGATCAAATACTGCTCTGGCGTGCCTTGACCAAAACAACTTAGCACCAATTCTTCGCACCGGATGCCAGTGCCCTGTTCGAAGCCCCCCTACAATTGAGTGCCCCCCTCCAGGCTCGGGTTCGAACCTCCCCCATCCTGAGGGGAGGGGGCCTGCCTTACAATTCAAAGCCCCATCCCCCCCCCAAGTTCGACCCCTCCCCAACATGGAGTGGTTCATTCTCACGCAATAGGTTTCCCGTACGAGGCAGGCACCGCGCAGGTGACCCACGGGCGGGTGGGTCTCTCGAAAACTGGTTGCGAAAAACGTAATGGTTCATTTCCATCCTGGGACTCAACATGGGGTGATGCATTCCCACCAAAGCATTCCCCATATAGAACAGGCAGCGCACAGGTAACCCACGAGCTGGTGGGTCACCCGAAGACGAGCTGGGACAAACGAATTGTGTCACTTGCGTTCTGGGCCTCAACAGGAGGTGAAACACTGCCGCTCACCATGTTTCCCGTGCGAAGCAGGCACCACGCAGGTGGCCCACGGGCGGGTGGGTCACCCAAAAACTGGTCGGGGAAAAACAATTGTTTCAATTGCATCCTGGGCCTCAACATGGGGTGATACATTCCCACTCAACCCGTTTCCCGTGTGAAACGGGCGCCGCGCAGGTGACCCACGGGCGGGTGGGCCACCCCGAAACTGGTTGAGAAACGCCAGTCGTGTCACTTTCATTCTGGGCCTCAACATGAGGCGATGCATTACCACCCAACGCGTTTCCCGTATGAAGCAGGCGCCGCGCAGGTGATCAGCGGGCTGCTAGCCAGACGCAAGCTCGAATACGAATATGCGAACATGCGGCGGCGCGACGGCGGGGACAGACACATATAGATAGTCAGATGAACGCCGCCAGTCAAGCCAAGCCGAGGGTGCGACGGCGCCCTGGGGGCGGGCAGATCAGTGGATAGAAATGCGCAGACGTATCGGATTGACTGTGACCGGTGGTGAGGCATATGCAGATAGATGGGCACGCCGCGCAAGTCGAGCAAGGCTGACGGTGCGGCGGCGAACGCGCTGTGAAGATTAACCAGACAAGAAGCAAGACAGGTCGAACCCCCCCATGACTTCTGAACCCTGAAAAATTCAGGAACGCTCCACGCGCGCGCGCGGGTGACCATGGTCACCCACGCGCGCCCACGCACGTGGTGCGCTCAATACAGAAAAGGTACGGAGCGCCCGGGCAACGCGCTCCCCGGGCAACGCGCGCTTCCACTTTACTCCGCCAAGCGCGCGCCTCCCCTGCAGCATAGCGAAGCTCCGAGGGGCCCACCAATGAGAAACCAATGCAGAGGACGCCGAAGGTACCATTTGCGGGCCCCGCGACCTCTGCCCGAATGCGACGATGAGTGAGCTTGCGGGGCTGGGCAAGCACAGGACGCGCAGAGTACACTGCTACGCGGGGGCGACCCAGAATCAACAATTTGTTGGTTCTCAGGGAGCGCGGGCGCACTCAAAAGACATCGCAGAGCACCCTCCCCGCGGCGCCAGGTGCGCGGCGCAAATAAACACACTCTTACCCCGAAGGGAAATGATCCCAACATCTGAGAGAACACACAGGCACCCTTGATCAGGGCAACGATCTCCTCGCGGCGCGACGCGCCCAGGACGCCGCGGGCCAAGACCCCGACATCCACCGAAATCACAAGACACAAGAGCACCCTTGCCCCGCGAACGCGAAGGACGCGATGCGCGGTGCACAGGACACGACAATACCCTTGATTGGCAGGTCCGACCTACCAATCAACCCCGCCTGTAAGACACATAGGCGCAGCGCTAAAATGAGAAATACATCTTGAAAGCGTACCGGTCTCCGTCCGTGAACCTCATACAAATTTCCCCAAACAGCTTGCTGAGCGGGGTGCTGTTGTGATAGAAGCTAACTCCAGCCGAGGGAAGTCGGAGCAGAGACATCCTCACAAAAATTTGATGGTCCAGGCCGTTTCGCTTGAGACATCCTCACAACTCTCGTTTCTGAGTTGGCCGGGATTGGCCGTTTCGCCTGAGACATCCTCGAAAAATTGCGCTCCGGGACGCCGCGCGAGAGGTGGTCCGGGCCGTTTCGCTTGAGACATCCTCGAAACTCTGAGCCCCGAGGTGCCGTGCGAGAGGTGGTCCGGGCCGTTTCGCCTGAGACATCCTCGAAACTCTGAGCTCTGAGATGCCCTGCGCGAGGTGGTCTGGCCCGTTTCGCCTGAGACATCCTCGAAACTCTGACCTCGTAGATGCCGCACGAAAGGTGGTCCGGCCCGTTTCGCCTGAGACATCCTCAAACTTCTGAGCTCTGAGATGCACTGCGCGAGGTGGTCCGGCCCGTCTCGCCTGAGACATCCTCGCAACTCTGAGCTCTGAGATGCCGTGCGCAAGGTGATCCGGCCCGTTTCGCATAAGACATTCTCGCAACTCTGAGCTCCCAGATGCCGCGCAAGAGGTGGTCCAGCCTGGGGGCCCAGAAGACCACATGTTACATATCCTCCCTGGGACCCTGGGAGCCCGCCTGAGACATCCTCGAACTTCTGAGCTCCGAGATGCCCTGCGCGAGGTGGTCCGGCCCGTCTCGCCTGAGACATCCTCGCAACTCTGAGCTCTGAGATGCCGTGCGCAAGGTGGTCCGGCCCGTTTCGCACAAGACATTCTCGCAACTCTGAGCTCCCAGATGCCGCGCAAGAGGTGGTCCAGCCTGGGGGCCCAGAAGACCACGTTACATATCCTCCCTGGGACCCTGGGAGCCCCAGGAGGCCCCAAAGAGCTCCAGGAGGCCGCAGGACGCCCAGGACAGACCCCAGGGGTCCCCAGGAGATTCCCAGCAGGCTTCCAGGAGGCCCCAGGAGGCCCCCTATCAGAACGTGTCAAGTTAATGCACATCCGGTGTCGATTCGTTGATTTTTCCTGCTCTTGTGCCCCCCCTCTCCATTTTGAGAGGCCCAAGCGGCCACAGGTTAGATATCCCTCCTGGGAGCCCCAAGAGACTTCAGGAACCCCCAGGTGGAGTTCAGGAGGCCACAGGAGGCCCAGGAGGAAGCCCCAGAAGGTCCCCAGGAGGCCCCAAGAGGCCCCAGGAGGCCCCCGCAACTCGGAGCTCTGAGACGCCGCGCTCGAGGTAGTCTGGCCCGTTTCGCCTGAGACTTCCTCGCAACACGTTTCGCCCGAGACACCGGCCCGTCTCGCCTGAAACTTCCTTGCAACTCTGAGCTCTGAGATGCCGTGCGCAAGTTGGTCCGGCCCGTTTCGCACAAACATTCGCGCAACTCTGAGCTCCCAGATGCCGCGCAAGAGGTGGTCCAGCCTGGGGGCCCAGAAGACCACGTGTTACATATCCTCCCTGGGACCCTGGGAGCCCCAGGAGGCCCCAGAGAGCTTCAGGAAGCCGCAGGACGCCAAGGACAGGCCCCAGGGGTCCGCAGGAGATTCCCAGGAGGCTCCCAGGAGGCCCCCTATCAGAACGTGTCAAAATAATACAAATCCGGTGTCGATTCGTTGTTTGTTCCTGCTCATGTGGCGCCCCCTCCCCCATTTTGGGGGGCCCCGACGGCCACATGTTAGATATCCCCCCCTGGGAGCCCCAAGAGGCTTCAGGAAGCCCCAGGTGGGGTCCAGGAGGCCACAGGAGGCCCAGGAGGAAGCCTCAGGAGGTCACCAAGAGGCCCCAGGAGGCCCCCGCAACTCGGAGCTCTGAGACGCCGCGCTCGAGGTGGTCTGGCCCGTTTCGCCTGAGACTTCCTCGCAGCACGTTTCGCCCGAGACATCGTCGCAACTCTGGGGTCCGAAATGCCGCGCGCGAGGTGGTCCAGCCCGTCACGCTGGAGA